TGCATTTGACATGAATCTTGTGTTTAAAAAAAAATCTGAAAATGAACATGCTTTTCAGATGCTTTGTAACTTTCCTAACTGAAATGGGAAAAGGTGCTTTAACGAATGAAAAAACACATTCACTTTCTATAGAAATAGGAATCTATAGAAAATTGGAATTGATAAATTTCATCTCTGTCTTTTAAGTGAAAATAATAATAGTTTGGTGTATTATAGTAAACCTCAGTCTCTAATACGATAATGAAAACTTTTATCCTCGAGCTCTAACCAAGTGTGCTGAAAAAGTTTTTTTTTTCCTCTGGGTGAACCCAGCAACGGTTTTGAAAGAACCAATTTAGTGGAGAAAAGCTTTAGTGCATTTATGTTCTTTTCAGTCTTTTCAGGCAAACCATGGAAGATCAAGTCAAGAGTTATGGGCCACAGCTGTGTTCTTCCATTGAGACCTTCTATAGGACATCAGCTGAGCTGATTAAGAAATGGTGACCACAGCCACATTCCCTTATTCACTGTGAAAGGCAAATCCGTCCATTTGATTGAGAAGCATTGCCTTGCAACCATATTTTCCCATTCACTTTCAGTGGGCGGCTTAGATTTGATTAAGAAATACTGTCCTATAATTACGTTCTCTCTCTCACACATGCACTGAAAAGCCTCTGAAGACAATTCAAGGTTTTGCACTTTAAATAAAAATGGTATGGAACAAGGATCTTTGCAGCCTGTATAGGTGGAGATCCAGATGAAGTGACAAGTAGCTTTTAGTTAGAAATACTAAAAGAGTGTCTTAAGAAGGGCAGTCAATGCTGGCTTGTGTTTCTGTCCTGCTACCGCTTTGTTCCCCAGGCTTCTGGAGGGGATCAATAGCTCTAACCCTGTTTCCATTCCAAAAAGTTCAGGACAAATGTGCTTTCCTTTTATTCAAATAGCAAAACTGTATTGTATATTAAATTCTTTAATTCTTTGGATGCGATGCCACTGGGTTGTTTTCTCATCTAGTTCTGAGGCTAACTTTACTCACTAGTTTTAGGTAGTTTAGAATTTCACATTCTATTGCATGTTAAAAGTGTTCCAGTTGAATAATAATTCTGTGTGTATTAAGAAAATGGTATAGATTTGTGGTTGACTTATAGCTTGAGCATTATCTAATTTTTTTTTCTCTTACACTACACTTTAGCAAATACAGTTTGGCATGAAAGCCTTCCCCCAACACACACACACACACAGATTTTCTATGTATAATTCAGGCAAATACATGATTCAGTCATCTAACGGGTTTGCTTTTATCATCACTGAGATTTTCCAGTAGTTGGTGGGTTTCATGTGTGGAGGAGAAGGTCTGAGAGCTGATGTGCATAGACAAACTGAAGCCTTAATGCCAAAGCCGTCTTGAAGAGTTTTTGACAAATCACAAAGTTTAGAAAATGTTTGATGTTTGCTGAAGGAAGTAGTCAAGCACTTTAAGTAGCTGCTTTGGCTCCAGCTTTCCAAAATTTCTAGACCCCTATCCCATATCGCCATAGCAGAGAATAAGAGTTTTACAGGAGAAGGCCTGGCAAAATGATTAGAGGAGAATAACAACCTGAAGAAGGCAGAAATATGTCGTGCTTTAAGATTTGATCATGGACAGGACCTCAAAACAGGTCAAAATGGGTTTAAGTCCTCCTTGTAGCGTGGGCACAGGTTTCCCTCGTATATGGAATGTCGCTTTCCTTGCTAAAGTCACTGCAGGGAATGCTGGTGGAGGAGGAAACTGAAATAATGATCCTGTTTAGATAGCTGCTTAATAGTCTCTGCTGCATTATTTTGTTGGCATGTGCAGTGATCTTTAAAGAAAAAAAATGACTTGCTGATGGCACTAAAATTTTATATGGCATTATATGAAATATTTTATATTTCATGTAAAAATAAGCAGTGCTTAAATGTATATTTGGTGTCTTCAGTAGAGGAGAGTCATTAGCTTGTTGCTGTATGCCAGTGCTTCACTTTCAGTCCCTATAGAATTGTCGTGTCTTTTGCAGCTAGAGAGATGTAAAGGGAACAAAAGCACCATGCTGAGCAGCAAGGAGCAGGTTGATCGGGATCGCTTTTCCTCTCCGAGGAGAACGGGAAAGTTTTCTTTTCAATGTGATTAAAAGCCACACTAACAAAAAAAATAATTTCAAGGACAAATATTCTAGAATTAAATACTATTTATTGTTTTGAGAAAAAGTAAATTTTCTGTCTGGTCTTAAAAAAAAGCAATAAATAAAAATCAAATCAGCTCTTTATTCACTGGAGTCTTTAGGAAGAGCCCATAGATGGATTTCATGATGCTTAATCATTCTTTCAAAGATACAAAGGAAATACCAAAAGCTATTCAGCTAAGCTTTAAAGAACTGAGAGTTATAACTTGGATTCAAATGTGATTTAGTTCCAGAGGTAAGTCTATAATCCTACCAGTCACGAGTTAATCTATCTAAGACTAGAGGCAAATCTATTTAACTAAGAATAGTTAATACACCTGAATGTGAGCGAGGAAGATCTTTCTCACAGTCATTACTTTATATTGAGAAAATGTAATATTCATGGCAGAGAGTAAAAATAGATACAGATTTTTAAAGGTAGACTGGAAAAAAATTATTTTGGATTTTGCTGTGTTCTTTTTGAGAACTTCCAAGGCTGATTTTGTAGCCTTGTGGCTATAAAATGACCTGTGGTTTTGAATACAGTAGAAATGGGTGAGTCAATAAAGAAAGATGTTTTGTCATTTATTATAAAGTTAGATGGGCTTAGGCACAGCTTTTTGAGACACGGGGTTGTGTCATCAAGAGCAGATTCCCCTCTTCCTCTTTCTGCCTCTTCTTGCCCTTTATGACATCTCATCTTGAGACAAATTGATGTGATGAACTCTAACCTCTTAGTAGGATAATTTATTAAAATAACAGATGCTATAGAGTTGGACCTCTGTTGATCTTAAATTCTTAAAGAAGATTAACAGTCTAATATTTTGAAATCAGTTTCCTTGTTTCCTACCTCGTTCTGATACATTGACACGTTGTGGTGAGTGCAATGGCAGATATTGCCTGTAATTTATACAGAAGGTTCTCGGCCAGAATGGGATTCATAATGCAAATGAGGAGCAATTCCATCAGGAAGGAAAAATAAAATGCTGGTGAACAAGTGAAATTGTTTTGGATATCCTGACAGATAGAGGCTCCAAACTTGTGTGTGTGAGCGGGCAGGCTGGACATATGGAAAGCTGAGATTGGAAACGCGCTATTTAGCTGAGTTAATGCCTCTCTCGATATCATTTTGCCCTTCTAAGAGGAGGAGTGTTAGCTGTATAGATTTATTTTTCCTCTGCACAGAACAGGAACAGAGCAAGGGGACATGTAAACCTCTTTATCTATTTTTTTGTTGATAAGGAAGACGCACAGGTCAGACCCAGCAGTGGAAGCGAAGGCCAGGTCAGATCGTGGGCTTCTTTGGCAGTGGCCTCCTGTGCTGGGATGTGGACGTGCCTACATATACCCTGCAAACAAGATGTGTTGACTGCTGAACGTCGTCATCTTGTTTTCATTTGTTGGACAAATAAAAACCCTGAACTCCTTTTTGCTCTCAGATAAATTGGGCTCTGTGATTTACTTCATTTGTAAGTGAATAGCATTTCTTTAAAATCCATACAAAAAAAATTCTAGCTGCTGTTCCGTTTCACTAGCTTAGGATTTTAAAAGACTAGCAGTCTTTTAGTTGATTGGCAAGCGAAGGAAAAGAAAAAGATGGAGCGGTGTTTTGAAATCCTCTTTTTTTGTCTTGTTTTAAGGTCTGCATCTCAAACATACAGAAGAAACCTTTTATGCTTAGAGTAAAATACGACTATGTGACTGTGGAATTCTGTACTTATATTTAATACTATTTGCCTATTCATTATGGCAGTGAAGATAATAAGGCACAGCCTGCTGGGATTGTCTTGTTCTTTATTGCTTGAGTAGATGGCACTGACATGTTCGTTTGACTGATGGCTTTATATGTTGTATCAGCTGTGATATTGTTTTAGATTAGTTAATAGTCTGCCTAAGATTTTGCCACGACGAATATGAATTAAAATGGAGGAGGAAGAACAGCAGAGAACTACCCATAACTTACCAAGTATTCATTCTTTGGTATAATCCGTCTTTGTGTCTATCACAAAGAGATTCTCGATGAGACTGTGAGGCTGCTTGTGAATACCAGGACTGTTAAATTGATCTCTGCTGCAGCCCTCAGTCTTGTGCGTGTGAGCAATACCAAGGAAATCCTCTGATGTGCTGTAGCTGTAAAACTTCATCTCGTACCTATGAAATAAAGGGCTTTGTGTTGGGGCCTTTTCTTGCTAACAATGTATGTATTTTACTATTACACTAATAAGTATCGTTTTTTGTAAATGTTCAGGGGTTGGAGCAAGATATTTTCCCAATACCTGTCAAAATGTAGCTGTTTCCAACTTTAAGATCGTTGCTAGTAGAAGGAAGTTATATTTAATTTTGCTGACATCATGAAGAATGGAAATTATTTAGATTTTTTTCTTATAAAAGGTTGAGTATGGAGTTTTGAACTGTTTTTAATAAATATATATCTGAACTATTACTGTTAATTTCTACTTTGAATATATTCTTTACATGACAGATGGTCATAAACATTATATACACTGAATTTGAAAAATGATGTTTGAAGATCATGGTCAAAAAAAATGCTTTCTGTGTTCCAAAAAAAATTCCACATAGCTGTTTGGGTGGATCATTATAGTTCATAATTTAAAAAATGTTAATACCCCAGGGAAAGTGGGGACATGAAAGAATGTCTCTTTCCCCTCTATTCCTTCTTCACTAGGCCACGTTGAAATACAACTTGGCTTGTTTTGTTTTGCTTGTACCTTGTTAATTATTCTTAAGCTGCCTTGTTCACTTGTGCGCAGGTCCGGAGCCGTGGATCCGTGAGCACGTCCTCTGTCCATTGGAGCAGCCTCACTAAACTGGAATACTTGTCGAACTGGGCAGTGGTAAGTGTGAAAGGAAGCAAAACACTGAATTTTCAGTATGAATCCTGGAAGTTTGGGAATGGTGGGAAAGTAAAAGCTGTCATCTAGTTTTCCATACAGTGAAAACTTACATAGTTCTCTTGACTTGGAGTCAGTGCCAGTAATTTTAAATCCCTTAAAGCTCTGGCAGTGCCTTTTTTTTTTTTTTTTTCCTCCTGGAATGATGTTCAGGGAGCAAACGTGCAAAATTTTAAAATGCTATGGCATATCACTCTCTGATGTTGTCACAGTTATGGAAATAGAATTCATTGTGAATTCATGGATTCTATAAAACTGGTTGCTTGACTCATAAAGTGAAATTACTATTTTTTTTTTATTGGGCAGTTAACATTTACCTTGAGACTGCTCTAAGGTAAAACATTTTTTCATGTTTGATTCTGTTAATTCACATTGTAGATATTTGCTATAATTGTTTCAGCCTTATACACGTGTAAGTACCAGTGGAATTACTACACTGACTCTTTACCTTTCTTTTTTGTCTCTTTCACCAGGACTAGAGGAAATAGTGTGATGTGTTTTAATGTAAAATGAATACCTCTTTTATACAGTATCCATTTTTCCATGCTTATTAACATTTCAAAAAGCCAAATCAAAAATATAGCCTCAGAAGCCTATGAAGAGCGGGGAGATTTTATATGTTGAAATAAATGAAGAATCATTAACTTCCAGAAGACTATGAACGAAGAAGTATATAGTATTTTAATAATACTTTTTAACATCCAGGACCATTATATAGTCAGTTCCCACACTTTCAGGGAACTGCAGGACATTTATCTTTTGGTTTTGTGATCCTAAAGAATAAAAAGTGTTGGTTTATTGCACACTGAAAAGTTACATTTAAAACTGTAAACACAGTAAAACTGTGTTGAAAATGTGTTCTTACCGCTGAAAATACAGACAGCTTGGGGCATTAACTGAGGTTTTAGTTGCTTGTTTTTATTCATCTCCTGAATTTCAACAAGAAATGTTTGGCTCAGTGAGAGTCTTCATAATTCCTCTTTAAAATACTTTAATTTAAAATACTTTCAAACTTGTTTAGAAACCCAAATATGAATACCAGGGTAAATTGGCTTGCTTTTAAGCATACCTCTGTTAAAAGGGCTTGTGAACTGATGAAATGCACTTCTGTTTGCCTTTTTAAAATTACTTTCAAACCATGAAGTGTGAGATAAGTTCCTGGTGGTTACTAAGTTGAGTCTCTAGTTTAGCAGAAGCTTCTTCAGGGATGTAGAGACACCTGCATGTTGGAAGCTATTTATTGGCCTGTAAATACAAATTACTGCCATTTGAGGCCATGGACGTTGTGAAGTCTCTCATTTCGTACAGTGATAAATTTATTCTAATAAAGAATTGGGTACGTTCTCTAAACTTCTTAGAGTTTGTCAGCAGTTTTTAGGTGACGATACGGGTTATATCTGCAAAATAGTAGTTTTGGCTAGTATATTTAAAGCAGTTTGCCAAGAGCTGCAAGAAAGAGAAAAAAAAAAAAGGCAAATGTAAGTGTTGTATTTAATGTGATGCCAGTTCCCAATGGGCAAGTGAAACTTCTGCCACACTCAGGAGGGAGAGGAAGAAATGAAAGGTTCATTCAGTCGGAGGTTCCTACCTGTCATTAAAGATGATTTCCACGTTGCAGCTAACAGCTTTTGTGTCAACATCCCAGACCCTTATTTGTCTTGGAACCAACCCTTGCACAAAGGAAAGATAAATCTAGTTTCAAAGGCTAAAAATCTGGTACCTTTTCTGACCCCTAAACTTTTATTTTTATATCATGCATGCTTATTTAGCTACTTTCTTTTTCTAATGTCAACAGTTCTGTACAGATGTCTTTAAACAGTTTCCAAACGTGTAGCAGTTGTGGAAAGGATCAGAATATAATCATGTGCTTTATTTTAAAACTCTTTTAGGGTTAAGCACGAAACCTTTTGCTGTTTGGTTACTGGAGTTGTTATAGAATTGTTCCACAAGTATTTTCAGGACTGAGTCATGCAGTTAAGGAAACTAGGATTTGATTCATGTGTGTATAAATACTTAATGATTTGCAAGGTAGGAATCTTTCAAATTACTTATAAAACAGTATTGGTAGTCCATGAAGCATTGGCTAAGGGAGCGTTTATTATTTTCATTTTATTTCCTATCATTTTATCTCTGCTTTAACACATCTGCTGTTAAATTGGAGAGTGACTCAAATTCTGGTATTTCTCCTCCATGCAAGCAATTAAGTTATTCCTTTTCTTCTCGTTTCCTTCCCTCTACCCCTTATCTGGAAAAGAGTTCCAAACAGGTAGGAAAACGCACTCTCTGTTAAAATGAGATCTATCTAAATGGAAAAAGAAGTGAGCCTAAGAAATAAACCCAACTGAATTGCATAGTATATTATAATTGCAAAGAAAAGAGTTTTTTATTGTTTCTAGGACCTTAAAATGTGAGGTGTTAATGCTCCGCTATTACACTCTTGTTGCATTTGCCTCAGCTTAAACTGTGTCATATCAACAGCACAAATTTGTGTGCCATTGTTGCAATATCCTAAATAGCTCCGGCTCTGTAATCTCTGCAAGGATCTTCCTTGTGCAACTCTTTACAGTTTCTGACTCATGTGTGTGTATTCCTTTACTCATAGCTTTTTAATTTCCCTCGTTAGTGTTTTATTCTTTCTAGCAGGACATGGCCAAATATTTGTTTACCTACGTAAAACAGAGGAACAAATTTTGTTGTCTGATCGCGTGCGTGTGTCTCTCACTGACTTATTTAATAGTCTGTTGGCGTGTGAAGGCAGAGCTGAACCTGCAGACGCCCCAGCTGCCTCTAGTCCACGTGCTGCACAATGCTGGAGTGCTAATTTTAATTTTCATGGAAAGAGTCAAGAATCAGGGAGTAAGTAACATGCCTCTTTAATGTGAAGAAGAGGCTCTCAGAAGAGGTGCGTGGCTGAAACCCTAGGTAGATACATGGAAAATTATCCCACAGAAAGCAGTAGTGAGCAGTGCACATGCTTGAATGGCTTGCATGTGTCTGCAGGCTGCTCTTTCTTCTTAGTTTTGACATTAAAACCACACTGATGAAAAGGAAGAGATCTTATTTGAGGACAATTTCAGAAGGAGGAAGTTGAGAAGATGAATGATTTAAGTGGTTTGGGTTAAATAAACACTGCTTGTTTTTACCTTGCAGAGCAGCCTAATGTATTTGATATTTGTTCACAGGGCTTAGATTTGTAAGGCAAGTATCCACAGATACCTAAAGAGAAACAGGTGGGGAATATTAAATGCACAATCAAAGATGCTTTTGTACTGAGAATAACTGGGTTGAGGTATAACAAAGCTGCTTTGTTAACTGACCAAAGTTGCTAAAATATTTTCCCTTCTTTTTAAATACAGGAAATCTTGCTGGCCCACACAGGAAAAGCAAAAGCAGTTGGCAAAAAGCTTATAATTTATATACAGACAGTCTACTTCATTGTTACAGTGCATTAAAGAATCGTGTTTAGCTTGTGTGTGATTGATTTCCTTGTAGTCTGTTACCCAGCCTCAAACTAGCAGCATATCAGCATTTATTTTTCCCCTTGGAAAAAGGTGATAAATTCAATGCTTTTTTCAAAAACTGAGACCTTCCAGAGCTGGTGAGTGACTGCACTTGGCAGCTGTTTAACCAGACTCCAGAAAATGGTATTTATATGGCCTTTTTTTTTTTTTTTTTTTTTTTTTTTTTTTTTTTTTGGCCTTTTTTTTTTTTTTTTTTTTTTTGAATGTGGCACCAATCTTGGCTACACTGGTGAGACTTAAGGGTTAAGTTCCCAACACTGTCGCATATGGCAGTGAGCAGAATCACAGATGTTGATGATACAACATAATTAGTATTCTTTTATGTAAATGAAGGCTGTCAATGTTACCATAGTGTCTATACTCTTTCAAGCTGGAATCTGTGCCACTTGGTCTCACCAAGACTAGACAGGATTATTGCACAATTTTGCATCAAGATTTGAGCAGAAAAAGAGAAAAAGGTCAAAGAGGAAAGTGGGAGCAAGGTAGGGAGGAATGTTTCCCTCTTGGAAGGAGGCGACCCAATCAGTCCTTTGTTTATCTGGGCATTTCTCAAAGTGGCTCTCCAGGTTCTGGGATTTGTGAATGAATGAATGGAGTCTGAATGTGAGGTGCAGCAAATTTTAGAGCTGTTTCAAATGAACAACAGAAATAATTATTTAGATGTGGATTGACGATATCTCAGTGAATGCTGAAGAGGCCACTTATGCTTCAGTCTATAAGAGAGGAGAGCTAAAGAACAGAAAGGGTTTGATTTTTGTTTAACAGGTTCCATCTTTAGCAGCACTGTCACTGGGGGAAGAAGTAATTGAAGTAAATTTGCATAATTCTAGGACAGCTAAAATGTGTTAAATGCCTTGGTCAGATATGTTTTCAGCATACTGTTCACAGCCAACCGTCCAATGCTTATCTTAAAGCTTTGAGAAAGCATCTTATTTCCTTAGTTACGCTAAACTCTGTCCCTCATAAAGTGTTCTATATGCCAATTCTGTGACATTTGTAACCAATTTGTCCGTATTACTGCTGTCCCTCCTGTCACTACTTTGTATTATATTGAAGTAACATGGTCATAGATGCACAAACAAGTTAATTTACTCTTTCTGTGGTTTATTACAACAGATATGTTTTTACTTTTTTTTTCTGCTATTGGCAAAATGTAGGCTTTTCTCTCTTTTTCCTCTGTAGTTCTTGCCTTGTTGCAGTTCACACTTGACAACTATTTAGTACTTTGCTTTTTTTATTGTTTGAAAAATCAACTAGAAATGAACTTTAATTAAGGACAGATTCTTTTCTTCCATCTCCTCCCCCATTTCTAACCAAATTATCAAAGCAGCCAAATTTGAAGTGATCACAGGAGGTGCACGCTTTTACTCGGATATTTTCCTCTGCCATATGGTGGATCATCCACTACAAAAGACTTAGATGAAGAGGCTACATGTGATCAGCAGATCTATAGATTATCAGAGAAGGAAAGCAGAAAAATGAAATCCTGGAGTGCCTCTGCTATTCGATACTTCTTTACATCCAAGTATTGGGGTTCTTTTGTGCAGTCGTGTTTTGGCTTCTGCTAATTGTGTTCTTTGTAATAAATGTGTTTGCTGCAGTAGCTCTTATGTTGCAGGGATTAATTGTGTTCAAAAGCAACCATGCTTGGTTTCTTAGTTTGTTTATGTGCATCACAAGAATATTCTCTCTCTAGGGCTTTGAAGCTGTGCTGCCTTACAACGAAGACTTAAGAAGTAATTAAATTCCCGAAGAACTGCCAAGGCTCCTTGGGCTGAAATGAGGGTGTTCCAGGCCCTGGACGTTGCGTCGCGAAGGAAGGAATGTTTAAGCACGACTCAGTGAGTAGCGCATGAGAGCGAATGGATCCAGGTGCTATTTCTGTGCCCTGGTCTTGTCCCATCGTACCAGGAAATTGGAGGGACTCTACAAAAGAAATTGCCTTGCTGGCGTGAGGAATGTTGTTTTAATTGTGCTCTTTGCACAACTGAATATCATTTATAAAACACGCACATTGCATACAAAGTGAAAGCTTTTTGCTCTTTAGAATTCTACTGTCCCTTCCTTTCAGTCACAATATAAAAATTCAGCAAATCAATTATGTTCTGTGTTTACGTATGTGTTCATGCAAACATGCATGCATTTTGTGAGAATATGGGCATTTCATTACAATAACTTGGCATTATGCATTTAATCTTCTTTTTTCTGCTGTTTTTTTTTTAAACATTAAAATGTTCAGGAGGATGTGGGAAGCAGGGGGAATTCCTGAGTGGGATGTAGAACCTTTGGACTTGCAGATAGCTTGTAATCTAGTTCTGATCATGACAATTATCTGGTATATCTGTGGCTTCTGTGAAACGTTGGTGACCTCACTCCAGTTCCTGGTCGCATGCATTCCAATCCCAAATTCATTTTGTATCTAACAACTTCAGGAGAGCAGCTAAAGATCAAGTGGGTGTGTGGACTGAATTAATCTTTTCTCTGGTAAGCAGGTCCTGCAGGTTGGGTAAGGCTCCCTGGCAGCTGCCTGGGCTGTCCTTGGGAGGCAGATAGACAGTTCTAGTCTGCAGAGCTTGTCAGTCTAATAGCTTTCATTGGAACTAAAAACTGTGCACGCAAATAATACAGTCAGTGGAAGAAGTGCCGCCGTTGGAACTGGCAAGATGTGACATCTCTATAAATAGAGATCATTTTAAATATGTTTAATGGCTCTTTTTTTATTTCTCCTCTTTTCTCTTGCAAGGTCAAAGCAGCGAAGACTTCTGTAAGACATGGATAGATGCAAACATGTTGGGCGACTACGACTCGCCCAGGACCATTCTATCCTGAACCCCCAGAAGTGGCGCTGCGTGGACTGCCAGACAACGGAGTCCATCTGGGCTTGTCTGAAATGCTCCCACGTAGCCTGTGGGAGGTACATTGAGGAACATGCACTTAAACACTTTGAAGAAACCAGACATCCGTTGGCGATGGAAATTAATGATCTTTATGTCTTTTGTTACCTTTGTGAAGATTATGTCTTGAATGATAACCCAGAAGGCGATCTCAAGTTGCTGAGAAGCTCTCTGTCGGCAATCAGGAGTCAAAAATGTGATCCGTCAGCAAGGAGTGGTAGGACATTGCGCTCAATGGCTTTTGGAGAGGACGTGTGCAGCCATCAAAGGACCCCTCAGGGACAACCTCAGATGCTCACGGCTCTCTGGCACAGGCGCCAATCTTTGCTCACGAAAGCACTGCGGACCTGGTTTGATAAGAGCTCCAGAGGCCAGCTAAAACTGGAGCAAAAGAAGCAAATGGAAGAGTTGGAGAAGAAAAAGGAGGCGGCGAGGCAGCGGCGGCAAGAGATGAAGAGACAACTTCTGGAGGAGCTAGCAAACACCCCGCCAAGGAAGAGCGCAAGGTTGCTGTCCCACGTGCACAGAGAGAACTTGATTCCAAGGAAATTCAGAGAGGTGGCAACCACTTCCCCTACCTCAAGGCGGATGCAGAGCAGCAAATTCAAGCAATTTTATTCCATCCGGCGTAAGCCTCTGATGACTCCCGGGGTGACGGGTCTAAGGAACCTGGGGAACACATGTTACATGAATTCTATTCTGCAAGTGCTAAGTCACCTCCAGAAATTTAGAGAATGTTTTCTGACACTTGAGCTCTGTGAAACAGAAGAACTCTTAGCCAAAACTGTGAATGGGAAGTCTAGGATGCCTGGCAAATTGGCAAATGGATCTGCTGCTAATGAGTCAGGGAAGACTGACAAAGTAGGATCATACGGCACGCAGAGCTTGCCAGCTGGCTTAAATGGTGGCTCCTCAATAAGCAGGAGTTTAGAACTGATACAACCCAAGGAACCAAGTTCAAAGCACATCTCCCTCTGCCACGAGTTGCACACCCTCTTCAGAGTGATGTGGTCTGGCAAGTGGGCGCTCGTGTCCCCGTTTGCCATGCTGCACTCTGTGTGGAGTGTGATCCCAGCGTTTCGAGGCTACGATCAGCAGGACGCTCAGGAATTCCTATGCGAGTTGTTGGACAAAGTGCAGCAGGAGCTGGAGTCGGAAGGAACGAAACGCAGGATCCTCATCCCTTTCTCGCAAAGGAAGCTCACCAAGCAGGTGCTGAAGGTGGTGAACACCATTTTTCATGGGCAGCTGCTCAGTCAGGTATGAACATGGTTTTTGCACAGAAATCAGTTGGCGCTCTTGGCAAGAAGCAAAGGCAGTTGCTTGAGGAACCTCCAGATACGTGAAAGGAATTTTGTAGGATTGCCTCCTGTGAATTGGTTAGAGCTTGTGCACAAGCTTTGTGGCTTTTTTTTCCTTTTTTTTTCCCAGGCATTTGAAAACCCTCTTCAGACACTGAGCATGTTTAACATATGTTTCTTTGGGGGCTGAAAGTGTTGGCCTTGTTGCACTGCCAGGTTTCTTAGTGTTGTGCTGTTCCTGTCTGAAACATTTTTCCCCCCAAAGTCTGATCCTGAGAATGCAGTGTGTTTCTGAAAGCCCTCAACGACTCTTGCTTTCCAGAAGAAAAGAATGTGCATGTAATTAGAGACACTTGAGGGTTTGCAGGATCAAACCACGAGGATATAATGTGTATGTTCTCCTTACCATTTAAAAAATCTTTCTCAGTGCTCGTCTTACCAAACTTAACATTTGTAAGAACTAATGTGCATTTTAAAGTGTATTTTTCAAGTTAAAGCTTTTGGGTTTTCAAGGAAGAAATGGCTAAAGTCCTGGTTCTCTTGAATCATTTCTACATTGTATTAACGTCTCATTCACTTCTTAACTAAACGTTGGGTTGTATCTCTTGACTCTGGAAGGTGGTTTGCTGTGGCTAAGGTCAGTGTTTTAGATTCGGTATTAGATCTCTGTTAACAGCTCAGAAATGTTTTTTATCCAGAATGTATTTTAACCACTGCTGTGATATGGTATAAATTGCTTTCTGTTTTATGTTACTTAATGCTTTCACCTGCTGCCTCTGAGTTTAATTAAAAACTCTTTTATTGTGTTACTTGCTAGCATTTTGGGATGACATGACAAAACAAGTGCATTTCAAATTTTTCCTTTCGTGCTCCATTCCCTCATAGTGCAGGTGAAACAGTTAAGAGCCTATAGCCAACACTTTGCCATATGCAAGCGAAGTAGAGGAACTAAGGCAGGAAGATGGCATGATAAATGCTCATGTATGTTCTTTGTTAAACTGTTCCAAAGTGTTTTTTGGCCAACTCAAGTAGTGTTATACCTGTAATGTTCTTTATCTGAGGAAGTGAATCATGCAAAGATGAATATTGTGTCCATTTGGGGAAGAACTAAGAAGGAAGCTTAAATTATTTGCTCAGGACAGACTTAGCTTTCAGACAGGAAATAAGTTGTATCTCTCTTGACTGCCAGATCATTTTTATGGCTATAAAACTGTGCTGCCCTTTGGGCATGAAATTGCTATTTGGAAGTGAATGTAAATGTCTGTGTCGAGGTATACATGCACGTAACTTCATTTGTATATAAACATTTCATTCCCAGGTCACCTGTATAACATGCAACTACAAATCCAACACCGTTGAGCCCTTTTGGGATCTTTCCCTGGAATTTCCCGAGCGCTATCACTCTGTTGAGAAAGGGATTGTCCCCGTTAACCAGACAGAGTGCATGCTGACAGAAATGTTGGCCAAGTTTACGGAAACTGAAGCTCTGGAAGGGAGGATATATGCGTGCGACCAATGCAACAGTAAGTCAGATGCTGCTGCTGTCTTTGCAGGTTAGAAGCACAGGTTTTTCTGAAGAAGAGGTTTCCAATGTGCCATTTTTTGTGTGTGAAAATGAGTATTGTAACCTATATTTCTATGAAAATTGTATTCTTCACTGTTTGTTTTGTTTCTTCCTATGAATAGCTTCTGCTCCTTTGGGCCCAAGTTTGGAACTATGTCACTCTTTTATCATTTCTGCCATTCAGCAGCATGACTTGCCTCTGGGAGCCTGTTTAGAGCTGCTCTCTCTGCTTTTGGGGTGAGAGGCAACTTCAATAAGAGTTTGGGTGAGGAGCACTGGATATAGAGATGAGACAAAC